AATAAATGCCTTCCATGAGTTGGGCACAGTACATACCTGTAATCCCAGCACTTGGAAAGCTGACCAGAGGATTGCAAATTTGAGGCCAGCCTGGGCAACACAGTAAGATCCTGTCACAAAAGACAGACAGACATGAAAGGAGGAAGGGTGGCAGAAGGAGAAATGGGGCTAGGAAAGGAAGGAGGAAAAGGGAGGGAGGAAGGAAAGAAGGGGAAGCCTTCTAGGTTAGCCTATAAGTCAAAGTAATTACAATTTAAAATATTTTAGGAGCTGTGGGCATGACTCAGTTAAGGACCTAGGTTTATAACCGTTAACAGGGAGCTAGGAGAAAAACAATATACCCAGCATACATTAAAAACTATAGCCTTACCTGCCCTACAACTGTTGTTTGTGACTTCTACTACTTGGGAAAAGTCAAATTCATAACTAGCCTTTTCTTTCCAGTTTCAGCTCTTCATGACTCTACTAGGGCACGTGTTAGTCCTAATGACTACCCAGAATCCATTTCCTAGATAATTCCAACACATGCCTTTGCAGCTGCTTCAGTTGGTCTCCCGTACACTTTCAAGTAAACAGAATGGCAATTACTCTCCACCACTCACCTTAATACAAAGAGAATCCCAAATCTGCCCCCAATCAAATGCACCTATCACCAAGTTTTATTAGGAAGGCCTTCTAGGAAATGACTTTAAGTTTGAGTTACTATTTGCAGAATGAGCTCACTCTTTAAAGAAGCATAGAACACAAGAACCTTCACAAAACTAGACATAAGTTCCTGTCTTTTCTATCAAGTTAAGTGTTCTACTAAATTCATGTTCCCTTTCTTCACATAGTTTTATAATGTAATATCAGCAGCTGCTTTGAGTAAACAAAGAAAACATTCATCACCGTGACAGAGGGCTCAAAATCAGGTTACTTTTCATTGTTTTATTCCTTTCGAAAGGAGACAAGTTTATACTTTCCTGCTCTACATTTTTTTCACTAGCGAAAACACTATACAGGATAATTCCAGGCTGCCTAGATGACACTAGATTTTGAAGTCATGAAAGTTCTAAAGAAATATGCAAAGACTAGCTATTAGGAACATGAACTTCACTTATTTCTTGGATAACACAGAGAAAGAGGACTTTCCTGAGGATAAATCCTTCACCAAGTAGTGTCAATAGGTTGCACAGATCTTTGTTCTTCATGTGATCAAGAACAAAGACTTCTACTACATTCCTTATCATCAACATAGGACTTTTTAATTATTATGTTTTAAAATTGGCTGTAAGATAACCCCAACCTACTCCTGTAACTTAAAAATGCTGAATGATTTCTACTCCATGTATAATATCAATTTTTGAGAATTACACCATAAATACAAGCTGTAAGACTAGCTGTATAAACCACTGCACATTACAAGCTAGATGCAAATATATTACAAAGTCATACTAAAAAATATATAACTAATCAGGAAAAAAAATCCTTATCATTCTTGCTTTTAATTTTCATTTCCCTCTTTGGTAATACACCGAAATGTAAAACTAAGAAGATTTTACCTCCTTGTTAGTAACAATGAGCAACAGGTCAAATCATCTGGGCAGACCACTTAGGGGCACAGAATTAGTAGCTTTTTAATAGCAAACAAAGACAAATACCCAGAGTTATACAGTGGGAGTGAGTGACCATGTTTGTTAACTCCTAAAAAAAAAAAAAAAAAAGGACTTAAGGGAAAAAGGATGAGAAATAAGTATTGGAAACCAAGAGAACGCTACAGGAACAAGTACAGGGTTCAACAAAGAAATGTCCTTGACTACATTTTGAAAGCCAGCTACTTGAAAAAATAGCCAGAGAAATTTTACTGAAAAAAATAAATAATAAGTATTTATTGAGTATCTACTATGTGTCCAATACTTCAAGAAATACAAAAGCATTGTGACTTAGTTGCTGCTCTCAGGGAGCTTACAATCTAATTTGAGAAACAATTCAGACATTCTAAAGTTGGACTAGGATGGGTTAGGCTTACCACCTCTAACAGAGCAACTAATCCCTAGATGCTTAGTTGCAAAGACTTGTGTCCCATTCCCCAACCACCTTCACTCTAATAAAGAGCCTTCGGGAGTTAGAACACTTGGGGGCGGGGAGCAGTACATTTCGCCCTTCTTCACTATTTTACACGACAGCGGTGTCTCCCATTCACAACAGAAACAATCATTGGGGTAATCTAATAATTAAAGACAACGGTGTAGGACCACAACACAGTTTTATCAACAGATACACATCCAAAATGTTTTAATCTCTAGTAACGCTGGTTGTCAAACTGACCCACATCCCCTCCCACCAATCACATCAGATATCCCCAACGCAGAATATGGGAGGTGGAGACAAAAAGGGATTTCTCCAATTAATAATCACAGAGAGTCAAAGGCAAAAAGACAAAAAACGTTAACAACAAAATCGCCTTTTACTGTGGCGTCTTTCCACAACAACCTACACCAGAGGTGGCTAAATTTTAAGAATCGTGGAAAAGCAGTCTCGTTTGTGACATCACTTTGCACAGCAATTTAGGGGCTGTCCACCAGGTGAAGGGTCTCAAGAAATCTGGAATTCCATTCCCATTATGAGAAGGATGAACAAATGCCCAGTGAATTAGTGACGTCCCTCTGGAGGAATACAACCCATGGGGGCCTCCATATCCAGCTTCCCAAATAATATAATGGCTTGGGTACCCAAAACTACACTAAAGACAACAGGGAGCTAAAGACAGCCGCAAAACATATATTCCATGATGAGGGTCGGTAAGAAAGAAGGCAGGGGAGGAAGAGGAGCTGACAAAGAGGCTGGAAACGAACAGGACAGAAGCCCACGCGCGGAGGATGGGAGCCTCACCCCTCTCCGCGCCACATCAAGAGCCCATGGGGCCATTCGCCTCTCTACCTCCCACCCGGAACAAATTAATCCTCCGCACTCCAAACTGAGGGCCACATGGGGGAGTTTAGGGCAGCTCCACCCCATCGCCCCCCCCCCCCCCCCCCCCGCGCCCCCAGACCAGGCCGGATCCGGATCAGAGGCCCGTAGAGAACTGGGAAGGGAGGAGGCTTTCTCCGCAGACACTGGCTCCAGTAGAGAACCCTACCTCAAGCTGGGCCCGGGCCTCGCTCGCCCGCGCTCTTTCTCGCTCTCCCCCTTCAGGCTCTAGCCGCATGCCCCCCCCCTCCGGCTGCCCCAAGCCCCGCCCCGGCCACGCTCCCAAATCGAGGCCCCGGCTCTGGCGCGGCCCAGTAGGCCGCGAACCCAACTATAAACAAAACCTCCGGCGGCCGACACGGGGGGTGGGGGGGAGGCTGGACGCCCGGGTTCGCAAAACTAGAAGGGTGTACAGCGGGGAGACACACGGCGTGGGGGGGCCTACCGCGGGAGGGGGACGGAGGGGACAGGGCAGAGGAAGGGAGGGGAGAAGGGGATCGCGGATTTAAAGGGGCCGCGGACAATACCCGGCCCCGCCGCGTTGCCGCTGCCGCCGCCGCCGCCGCCAACGCCGCTGCGCTCCCAACTTTACCTCAGTCTCCTCCACACTGACACCCCGGGCCGCGCCGCCCCTGTCACGTGATCGAAGATTCCCTCCTCCCCACCCCCTCCCTCCTTTTCCCTCTCGCGCTCGCTCTCGCGCCTTCCCCCTCCCACTTGCCTTCCTGCGTCCCTCAGCACGTGACGCGAAAGGACCGTGCACGTCAGCGTGCGCGCGCCGCCACGCCACGAAACACAGCTCCGGAGTTCCGCGCGCCCGGCCCGCCCCCGCCCCCGCCCCGTACGGCTCCTCCTGCATCACGTGACTCCCGGACGGCCTCGGCTTCCTCTTACTGGCGTAATTCCGCGTCTCTCCACCCGGCACTCCCAGGTTTCCTTGCGGCCGGGGGTCACGTTACGGGGGTGGAGCGGAAAGGCGTTGTGCTTAACTAGCGCCCCCATCCACCATGTTTTCTGACCGTTTCTAGTTTGATTTGTCCCCAAAACCAAATGGAAATGGCCGGGAACTCCAAGGATCATAGGCGCCCTGGCTTCCGCTGAGGCTGGGCTAACGCGCTAGCGCGACGGGAATATCCTAGCAGGTCTTCGCGGAGAGAGACGATGGCGTCTAGCAGTAACTGGCTGTCCGGAGTGAATGTTGTGCTTGTGATGGCATACGGGAGCCTGGTGAGGAGGTCCCCATTCCATTCCTGCTGTGGCGTCTGTCCCAGCCGAGACCCTCGTGAGCTGTTCTTTGGTTCCGTTCCTCAGCCACTTGCTTTGTATTTAGGGTTTTGCGTGGTATCCTTAGAATGCCCGCCCCTGACTGAAAACCCTCCCTCTTAAATTCTAGGGCCAGATATCACGCCTCCCTGCTGTTAGCCTTACACCCACCCTATCCTCAGCGACCTGGCTTTGCCCTAAGTTTTATCCCACAGCATTCTGCTCAGAGAGCCTGAGCCCAGGCATTTAGAATGTTTTTTCACTTGATTATTGTTATTATTAAAGATGATTCTAATCTTTTTGGGCAGGTTTTTGTATTGCTGTTTATTTTTGTGAAGAGACAAATCATGCGCTTTGCAATGAAATCTAGAAGGGGACCTCATGTCCCTGTGGGACACAATGCTCCCAAGGTAGGTCCTTAGGGCACAAGGTAAACATGATTCTTTTGCTATTTAGGCACAAGGAGACTTGCTCTGATTTTAAAAGATGACCTAATTCATATATTTTTTATGTCCAATTCATTTTCCCCTTCACAAACTAAGCAAAACTTCCTGCGGGCTTGGTCCCCTTGCTCACTGCTGCTGCACATGTGTTTAAGAGTTAAGCCAATTCAACTGTAAAATGTATCTCATGCCCATCTTAAGTTACCAAGCGTGATGTTGGGAATGGTTACAGTTCACTCCAGCTGTAGAATCGTTGTTGCCTTTGCAGAATTTTAAAGATGCCCATTGTGCTTGTCTAGAACACATAAGTCTTTGAGTTTGATCCCTGACACTAGAAAAAGGAAGAGGGAAAACATTAATAACCCCCATCTCCTCTGAAATCTTTTTATTGGTGGTTGGTGGATCTCCTGTATATTGGTCTAGAGCTGGTTATCTAAGTAAACATGACATTGATCCTCCTGCTTTCAGCCACCAAGTGCAGATATTATATAGGTAGCCACCACCACTCCTGGTTTAGGTGGTCTTGAAGGCTGAACCCTGGTGCATGATTGACAAGCACCCTCTACCAACTGAGATAACATCCCCAGCTCTAAACTAGAATGCCTGGTATCCCATTGCCATCCTCATATTTTTCAGTCTTAAACTTTGTAGTAAAAAACAACTGACTTTACCAACTTCCTTTTCTGATTCTCCCCAATACCAGCATCAAGCTCTACTTACTGAATTTCATAACTTTGCACACACTGTCACTAACCTGAAATGGTCTTCACTTGGCTGCCCATTCATTCCTTTGTGGTTATTTTTAGGCTAGGGTCTCTTGTAGGCCAAACTGACCTCCAGAACTCACTATGTAGTCAAAGTTGCCTTGAAGTCCTGAGTGCTAGATTTACAGGTATGCATGACACACTACCCAACTCCTTAGTTTAGATCTCAGTTTAAAAGTTATTTACTCAAGAGAAGATGCATATTACATATTTTTTATTTTGTTTTTGTTTTTCTGAGCCCTAGCTATCCTGGAACTTGCTTTATATAGAGCAGACCACCTCTACCTCCCAAAGTGCTGAGTTTAAAGTCCTGAAACACCACAACCAACACATTACATATTTTAATGCAAGCTTCTTTGTATTCTTATGGTACTTCGAATTTTTTATAACAGTTTGCCCTTTATGTTGGTTAAAACGTGCTTTCTTTGTTAATATAAATCTCAAGATTTCTGACACATTGGAGGTGTATCTCAATCACACTATGTTCTATACATAGGAGGTAGTCAATAATAATAGTAGAACTAATATTAACACGTGATTCCTTTATTCCTAGAGTGTGTTCATTCCTTAATGATATTGTTTCCCATGTGTTTATTCTGGCACAGTGGAAAGTCTGAAGGAAGATGCAGTGAACTGGAATGTCAACAATATTCTTTCCACTTGGCCATATGAAAGAACACAGGGGTTGGTTTCTAGCACATGATGGCCAGTTAGAATTTAGCTATTTAGTAATCTCTATACTATGTGATGTCAAAATTCCTTTAACTTATACATGTATGTATAGGTACATATAGAGAGAGAGAATAAAAAAGAAAATCTAAATTTTTTTTAATATTTATTTATTATGTATACAATATTCTGTCTGCATGTATGTCTGCAGGCCAGAAGAGGGCACCAGACCTCACTACAGATGGTTGTGAGCCACCATGTGGTTGCTGGGAATTGAACTCAAGACCTTTGGAGCTGAGCCATCTCTCCAGCCCGAAAATCTAAATTTTTACTAATTTAATAAATTTACTAAATTTTTATCTATTAATAAAATCACTTGGGGGAAATGGTTGAGCATGATGTAATAAGAATGTACATATATGCCCTGCAGCGATGGCGCACACCTTTAATCCCAGCACTCGGGAGGCAGAGGCTGGGGGATCTCTGAGTTCGAGACCAACCTGGTCTACAAGAGCTAGTTCCAGGGCAGGCTCTAAAGCTACAGAGAAACCTATCTCAGAAAAAAAAAATACAGAATGTACATATAGCTGTCTAATCCTTGGCTCAAGATTCTGTCCTGGACTAGAACAAATTTATTTCTTTGGACTCTGGCATCCCCTAAGGTTAGATGGGTTCAAAACTGATAATGGTGGTTACTTCTGAATGTATGAGGACTGCCACATTAAGTAATTTTTAGTACTTTTTTTTTCCTTTTTCATGACAAGGTCTTATGCTGTAGCCTAGATTGGAACTGGACCTAGGCCACGCTGACCTTGAACTTGGAGCAGCCTTCCCGCTTTAGCTCTCAAAGTTTTTCTGGCACACCATGTGGGATAAAGTTCTTTACAACAAGATTCTTCTTAGTCTGACTTAAAATCAGAAATCATGTTGGTGTTCAGCCTGAAGAAATTCTGACAAGTTAAAAAAGGTCTGGCTTAGGGGCCGATGAGTTTTGGCCCAACACATATGTTAGAAACCAGGGGTCCCTGTGCCCTTGTAACCCCAGCTCTGAAGGTGGCAGAAACTAAAGGATTGCTGGGGCTAGCTGACTTTCCACCTCCGTGAGAAAACCCAAGCCCTTGGACTGGGAGAATGATAGAGGAGGACACGATGCTTGCATGCATGACCATTCAGGTGCATGTACAACTCACACACACACACACACACAAGTCTTCAAAAGAGAAGAGCTAGGTGAGGTGGCACGTTCCTTTAATCCCAGAACTCCAGAGGCAGATGATTCTTTGTGAATTTGAGGTCAACCTGGTCTACATAATGGGCTTCAGTGCAACCTAGCTACATAGACCATATCTCAAAAATCAAGAGATTGAGATTTGCTTGGAGATGTATGTTAGAGAATCCCAAACTATTCTTAGATTTCTTTGTTTCATCTTAGTTTACATGTTCTGGACCTGTTAGGGAGTGGAATACAAGGTAATGATGCTGTCTTGTTTCCTCTGAATGCACAGGACTTAAAAGAGGAGATCGATATTCGACTATCCAGGGTTCAGGACATCAAGTATGAACCCCAGCTCCTTGCAGATGATGATACAAGACTACTGCAGCTGGAATCCCAGGGGAATCAAAGTACGTGACAAGCTCCTGGTGGGTTTTCAGCGCGGAGACATCCACAGCTTTAGACCCTCTACTGTGAGAGCCCTCAGCACCTCAGTTATCGAATATGTGCCAGATACAAGGAGGCAGTTTGCTAATTTACTATAATCTGGGGTGTTTTGAGAGTAATAGCTGAGACTGGTCTTTTTTTTTTATTTTCAGCAGGTTGCTACAACTATCTGTACAGGATGAAAGCTCTAGATGCCATCCGTGCCTCTGGTAAGCTGGCTGATAAGGTATACTCTAGAATCTAAACCTAGGGAACAGAGTAATGAGCCACCTTGTTAAGATGGCTCTAGATGCCATCCGTGCCTCTGGTAAGCTGGCTGATAAGGTATACTCTAGAATCTAAACCTAGGGAACAGTAATGAGCCACCTTGTTAAGATGTGTCCTTTTGCACATTTTAGCTAGAAGGAATTTGCTAGAGTTTTGATAATACTAGATTAAAAGAAATGAGCGTATATATCCAGGAGTGGTGGTGCACACCTTTAATCTCATAACTCAGGAGACAGAGACAAGCGGAGCTCTGGGAGTTAAAGTCTAGCCTGGTCTACAACAGTGTTCCAGGACATCCAGGGATAGCTACAAAGAGAGACACTGTTTCAAAAGACATAAATTACCTTGTATAGTTAATTATTGGTTTTTCGAGACAGGGTTTCTCTTAGTGGCCCTGGCTGACCTGGAACTCATTCTGTAGACCAGGCTGGCCTCAAGCTCAGAGATCCACCTACCTCTGTCTCCCAGGTGCTGGCATGAAAGGGGCATGCCGCCACCACCCAGTGGTAAATTATTTCTTCTCCCAAGAGTCTGACTTATTTTGGTTTGGGTTTTTGGTTAATTTTTTAAGTTGGAGATAGATGCAAACTTGCTGTGTTTCCAAGCATGACCTTGAGCTTCTGAGCATCCTGCTTCTACCTCCCAGTGCTAGATTGTGGGCATTTTGCTACCACAGCCAGTTTATTTGTTGCTAAGTACCAAACCCAGAGCTTCTGGTACTCTAAGCAAACAACTGAACTACATCCCTGGATCAGTTTATGGTTTCTTTCTTTCGTTTTAGTTTTTGTTTGTTTGGGGGAACTGTTGGTTTGTTTGGATTTTTAAGACAGGATCTCAATATCAGCCCTGGCAGGCCTCCAACTCACAGAACTTCCCCCCTACCTCTGTCTCCCCAGAACTGGAAAAGGGCATACACACCTCACTCTGCCCTTAATTACTATTTTTATGCTGTATGTATTATGTGCCTGCATGAGTTTATATGTACTGTGTGTGCGCAGGGAGACAAAAGACGGTATCAGATCTCCTGAAACTAGAATTATGGGTGGTTGTAAGCCTCTAAACCCAGGTCTACTACAGTCCTAGTCAGGCTGTTAACTTCTGAACCATCATCTCTCTAACCCCGGTGTATGGTTGTGGGTTTGAGGTTTGTTTGTGTCTGTTTGAGACAGGTTGTAGCACCCTCCTGCCTTAGCCTCCCAAATGCTGGGGTTATTGGTGTGTGTCGTATACTACACCTAGCACTTACGCGTTTCAGTTTTTTTACTGAGACCTCAAGTTTCACAAATTGAATGATGATGATTGTTTTCTCACAAAAGAATGATAGCATCGCCGGGCGCTGGTGGCGGTGGCGCACGCCTTTAATCTCAGCACTCAGAAGGCAGAGGCAGGTGGATCCCTGTGAGTACCAGGCCAGCCTGGTCTACAGAGCTAGTTCCAGGACAGGCTCCAAAGCTACAGAGAAACCCGGTCTCGAAAAACACAAACAAACAAATAAAAAAAAGAATGATAGCATCTGCTTTTTCACTAAGTCCACGAGAGATGGTTGGGTTTTTTCACGTTATGTGACTACTTGCACGGTCTTATCTTCAAGTTTATATCTTATATCTTAAAGCCAGATGGCCAAGTAGAACAGTATAAAAGGATGTTAATGCATAGAGCTTAGAATTGTGTAGCCACCACCCAAATGACCACTTGAATGTAGCTGTATTCCTCAGATCTTAATTCTGTTAGAAACTTTTTTCAACTCAATCATGTCATTAGATGTTCTCTTTTTATTAGTGTATATTAACTTTGCAAGATGGAAGGTTTCATGATGGGGCTGGAGAGATGGCTCAGAAATTAAGAGCACTGATAGTTCTTTCAGAGGTCCTGAGTTCAATTCCCAACAACCACATGGTAGTTCACAACCATCTGTAATAAAACCTGGTGCCCTCTTCTGGCCTGCAGCATACCTGCAGATAGAACACTGTATACAAAATAAATAAATAATTTTTTTTAAAAAAAAAAAGGTTTCATGATGATAAATTGAAGATATTTTTGTTTTTCAATTTTGTGGGGTGGTTTTAGGGATTTTGGGGGGGTTGGTTTTTAATTCAGTTAGTTGGGGATTTTGGTTGTTGTTCTCGTTTTTCTTTTTCTTTCAAGACAGGGTTTCTCTGTGTAGCTTTGGAGTCTGTCCTGAACTCACCCTGTAGACCAGGCTGGCCTCGGACTCAGAGATCCACCTGCCTCTGCCTCCCAAGTGCTGGGATTAAAGGCATGTGCCTCCACCGCCCAGCTGTTTTTTGATTTTTGAGACAGGGTTTCTCTATAGCTCTGAGTGTCCTGGAACTTGAACCAAGCAGGCTTTGAACTTAGATATGTCTGCCTCTGCCTCCAGAGTGCCAGGATTAAAGGTGTGCGCCTTCACACCAGACTTAATAAAAGTTATTTCTAAGTTTGAAAAAATTAACTAGAAAAAGACAGGGAAAAGAGATATCCTAATGCTGTTGTCTTCTCAGAGATTCCATTTCATGCTGAAGGCCGGCACCCCTGTTCTTTAATGGGTAAGAATTTCCGCTCCTACTTGCTCGATCTGCGAAACACTAGCACTCCTTTCAAGGGTGTCCGCAAGGCTCTTATTGATACCCTCCTGGATGGATATGAGACCGCCCGCTATGGGACGGGGGTAAGTTAGACAGTTTTTCCTTTAGAGAACTAAAGGATGGAATGCTCCAGACAGAGACTGATTTTTCCTTTCTCTTTCCTAAGGTCTTTGGCCAGAGTGAATATTTGCGGTATCAGGAGGCCTTGAGTGAGCTAGCCACTGTGTGAGTAGTACAGTGGGGCATGTCATGTTTTGTGTTTTGTTTTTTGTATAACCCACTAAAATGTCAAAATGATCTGATGATGGTGGTGCAGGCCTTTAACACCTGCACTTAGCAAATCTCTGTAGGCTACATAGAAAGAAACCTGGTCTGCATAGCTAATTTCCTGACACCCAGGGCTACATAGAGGAAACTCATTCACAAAAACAAAAGGTCTGGAGAGATGACTCAGAGGTTAAGACCACTAGCTGCAGATGACCAGGGTTCAATCCCCAGCATCCACGTGGTCCCTCACAACCATTTGCAACTTCTGTTCCAGTGGGATCTGATGCTCTCTTCTGGACTCCATAGGAACCTGGCATTTATGTAGTGCACAGACTCACACAAAACACAAAACATCCACACACTCAATAAAAATAAACATCTTTTTAAGAAAATAAATGGTATAGCTAGTAAAGGAATGAAGATTTTCAGCACTTAAATATTCCTTCTGTTCTAGAGTTCTCTCTTTGTGCCTTGGTCCAATAAAAGCAAGAATTAAATTCCACCGATTTTTTTTTTTTTTTTTTTTTTTTACCATGTAAAGCAGGTGATCCTGTCTTTCAAGAAAGTACATCAATAGAGAAACCCACTTTTGAGCATTTATTTGTAGAAGAATCTGACTGGTGAATGTTTTAAAATAGTTTTATTTTGCCTCTTAGGCAAGTTGTAATGACTATGCATATTAAAAAAGGAAAGCCAATCTACAGTTAGTTATGGGGAGGAGGGGACTAGAATTCAGTTGCTGGGTTCAGTCCCTAGTACTGCATAAAACTGGCCACATAAAGCTGGCAACAATGGTATACACTTGAAAACCTTGCACTGAAGGTGGAGATGTGAAGACTAGAAGTTCCTAGTAGTGTGTAGTTATTAGTAGTTCAAGGCCACCTGGTGATGATGTGAGACTTTATTCCAACATCAAAAACCAACAAGACTGGAGAGATGACTTTGCTGTTAAGAGCACTTATTGCTGTTGGAAGACCAGCATCCACATGGTGGCTCACAGCCATCTATAACTCAAATTTTATCTGATGCCTTCTGATAGGCATGCACGTAGTACACAAGGTATACATGCAAGCAAAACATTCATACACATAAAACAGTTTTTTTGTTTGTTTTGTTTTTCAAGACAGGGTTTCTCTGTGTAATGGCCCTGGCTGTCCTGGAACTTGCTCTGTAGACCAGGCTAGCCTTGAACTCACAGAGATCAGCCTGTCTCTGACTTCTGAGTGCTGGGATTAAAGGCATGTGCCACCGTCGCCCAGCCAAATTTTTGAAAATATTTAAGCTAACAGCCATAAAAATAATACATGTTTTCTACTGTGTTCTTTTGTGTAGAGCAGTAATGAAAACAACCACATCTTACTTTTCTGTTGCTGTGATCACTATGAGCAGAGTTTCAGAATCCATGACCATCATGGGGGTTATCATGGCAGCATACAGGCCAGCACCGCACTAGAGCAGTACTGTAGAGCTCACATCCTGATGCACAGGTACAAGGCAGAGAGAGACTGGGAATGGTATAAATCTTTTGAAACTTCAAAGCCCACCCCAGTGTCATACTACATCTAACAAGGCCACACTTTCTAATTCCCCAAAACAGTCCACCAATTGGGGACCTAAGTATTTAAGCCTATGGGGCCATTCTCATTCATACCAAAATAACATTCAAAACTAGAAAAGAAGGCTGGAGAGATGGCTCAGCAGTTAAGAGCATTGCCTGCTCTTCCAAAGGTCCTGAGTTCAATTCCCAGCAACCGCATGGTGGCTCACAACCATCAGTAATGAAATCTGGTGCCCTCTTCTGGCCTGCAGACATACATGCAGAGAGAATACTCAGAATACTGTATACGTAATAAATATATCTTTAAAAAAAAAACTAGAAAAGAGCATTTGGTTTAGGCAAGGGGTCTGGAGAGATGACTCAGCGTTTATAAGTGCTTGCTACTCTTCTAGAGGCCCAGAGTTTAGTTTTCAGCATCCATGTTAGACAGTCATAACTCTCTGTAACTTAAGCTCCAGAGGATCCAACACCTATTCTGGCCTCCAAGGTTACCTGCCCACAGGTAGCCTATATTCACACAGACATACACACATAAAGCAAAATTTAAAATAAACCTTTGGAGCTGGAGAGATGCTTAGCGATAAAGAGAACTTCTCTTCTGGAGTGCCTGGGTTGTTTCCTATCACTCACATTGGGTGGCTCACAGTGGCCAGTCTAGGGGATATGATGCCAACTTCTGATGTCTTTGGGCTCCTGCACATGTGTGGTGCACATACGCCCATAGGCACATACACACAAATAAAAAATCTTAAAAGAAGCTAGGAAGGAAACCTAAAATTTCACTTGAGCCGGGCAAGGTGGTATATGCTGTAATCCCAGGAGGCAGAGGCAGGCAGATCTGTTAGTTTGAGCTAGCCTGATCTACAGAGTAAATTTTTGGAATAGCCAAAGCTACACAGAGAAACTTTATCTCAAAAAAAAAAAAAAAGAAAGAAAGAAAGAAAAAAAAGAAAAAGATCACTTGAAAGATAAATGCTGGTTTCACTTACATGGTCTAAGTAGTCAGACTCAGGATGTAGAATGGTAGTTGCTAGGACCTGGGAAGATAAGAAGCATTATTTAATCAACATAAACATTAGTTAAGAGAAATGCAAAGCATTTTGAAGGTTGGCAGTACAATATTGTGATTGTACTTAACAGTATCAAAGCTTATAGTTTAAAATAGTCAAGCTATTTTTCCAGCCAGTCGTGGTGGAGCACATATTTAATCCCAGCACTCAGGAGGCAGGCAGACCTGTGAATTCAAGGCCAGCTTGGTCTACAGAATGAGTTCCCAAACAGCCAGGGCTACATAGAGAAACCCTGTATGGGAAACACGTTTCCTGTGTATTTCATTAGATATTTTGTTGTTGAAGCTGGGTGTGATGGCCTACTTTCCTGTAAGGCCCACCTAGCCTGCATAATAATAAGACCCTTTCTGTCCCCTCTTCCTCCACACACATCAAAAAAGATTATAATGGAAAGCCGGGCGGTGATGGCACATTCCTTTAATCCCAGCACTCTGGAGGCAAAGGCAGGTGGATCTCTGTGAGTTCGAGACCAGCCTGGGCCACAAGAGCTAGTTCCAGGACAGACTCCAAAGCCACAGAAAAACCTGTCTCGAAAAACAAAAACAAAGATTATAATGGAAATAAGGACTTAAAATTTGTTTTTCCTGTCATACCTAAA